ACCCCATGGTGTCAGAGTAGAACTGTACTCCATAAGGTTTTCGATGACTGATTGTTTGGAAGTAGATCCCCAGGCCTTTCTGCTGAGACACCTCTGGGTGAACTCGAGACTCCAGCCTTTCGTTTAGCGTGTTAACCATTTGCACCAACCAGGGACTCTGTCAGCTCTTTTACCTGGGGCAAATTGCTGAACATTTCCTTGCTTCTATTCTCTATAAAATGGGAGTCAGAATAGTGTTTACCTGGTAGGGTTTTTAACATTACCTAGCGGTTTTATTTCTGAGACCACCGTAATTTCTCAGCATTAAATTCATACATGGATGAATGAAAAGTGGACTTGTAAACTGAGTAGAAACGTATGATGACCATAGTTAACTCATCCCATTCTCTTAGTTCTTCCCTTCCTGTCTAGTTATTTCTAATATCAGCAGCCAGTTTTGAGAAAGAAATTCTTTTTTTCTCTCACTAAACAAAATGTTATTCCCTAAATTAACTCTAAATTGAATGAGCATATTCTAGTTTTATTCACTTTTGACTGAATTGTCACCTATTTCCCCTAACGTGGGAGGTTGATTCTTTGAGGTGAGATTTGGAAACAGACAGAAGGTAGGTTAGGTACCGAGAAGGTTTAATTCTTGTTCTAAAACGTGTCCTTAAAAAAATGTGCCCTTGCTTTCTTGCCTGGGCACACAGAAGTCGATTGACCTGAAGCTGTGTTCCTAGTAGAGAGTGCTGAGCTGTCAGCATGCCAGCGTGGTCTGCTCTGTCTTCCCCTCTTGCTTTTAGTTGCAAATGAAGTAAATTTCTAGAAACCACTCACCATGTATTGACATCTGTGAATGGAGACAGAAAAAAAACCAGTATAATCATCACCCACACAGTACAGTACTGAGCCGAGATTTTTTTTCAGAAAAGAAAGAGAATTACATTTTATAACTTTATCTAAGTCCATCTAATTTTATGTTTTTCCTACTTATAAGAGAACTAGTGGAAGTATTGGGCAATTAATGATGGATTCAACAGCTTTTGGTCTCCACAGCCTTTTGGCTCTCAAGCACCCAGCTGAGAGAGGTGAAGCAGCCACATTCTCCCTGGGTTTCTGCAGCCACTAAGGAACAAGGATAAGAGGAAGTAGGTGGCAGAAACATCAGCTGAAAGTTTCCAGCAGCACGCAGATGGAGAAGAGAGAAGAAATGTCTATCACTGTTTCCTACACGGACGATCTGATACATTCACTTTGCTCAGGCACAAGGAGGTACAGGGGAGAAGATGAATTGAAGCTCTTTCTATGCAAGTCTATTCCCTGGCAAATAAGCCCACCCTCAGAGAATACAGTATGGCTCTTTATGGCTGTTTATACCCTGAGCGGTTTGGCAGACACGTTGTGTAACCAGCAACGGTGCCAGCAGTTTGCAGCAGCCTCTGCCACAGCAAATCAGCTGTGATGTTAAAAAGAAAACCAGCCTGGCAATGCGGAAATTATCCCATCCAGCAGTGTTTCCCAAAACAAGAGGCTTGATTTTGCTGCCCAAGTGAGGATGACAGAACTGATGAATCCATTATTCCAGATGCCATTCTCCACCATTAAATTTTGGTTGTTTATTTTTTAATCTTTTACATAGAAAGGCAACATTGTGACTCTATTTAAATAGCACAAAGTGAAGTGAAGGTTTGGCAGTTGCATAGTAAATTTAAGTCAGCCAAGCTAAGAAGAGAAGAAATTGGGTCATGCAAGGTAAGAAAATCTTTTGTCTCCTGAACCTTCCAGATTGACTCGCTCTATGGTAAAGACACTTCTTTTTTTTCTGCTGTAGTAACTCACACATCCATCTGGCTTATTTAATAAATACAGACAGCCAGTCTAGGTACTTTTAGACTCAACATAGTGTTTTTTTTTTTTTTTTTTTTTTTTTAGTAGTCTGAATAATCTAGGGCTACTGGTTACAAGGCCTAAATTAACAAGAGAATGGCCAGCTCTGTCCCTCATTTTGTGCCAGTTCATTTACCCACCCTCACCCCCTTGTGAAGAGCATCAGGAAGAATGAGAACTAGGAAGACAGCTGCACCTCTAGCTGTTGAACACTTTAGCCAGCCAAGTGGAAAGAGGCTTCAGATGGGATAACTTCATGCGTCCAGTACTTGCTGCACAGACCACTGTAGGAGCTCAATAAACGTACTTTTCCTTTTCCCTTCCAGCAGCTACTGTTTCCCAAGTTTGACTAAGCAAAGCTGCAGCCACAGAGGTGCAGGTTCTTCTAATAACCATCTACAAAGCTGAGGCTCATATGGTTAAGGTACCACCAAAAGGCAGGAGATGAGAGAAGAGGACAGTTGGTGACGGTTGGACTCTTTGACCTCTTCACTGGAACTTTCTAAGTAAAAAAGCTAATCAGAGCTAGTACCATGCTACTCCCATCAAAGAATTAACTAACTAGGCAGCCGTGAACACTAAATAACCAGCTGTCTGATTTTTGGTAAGTTACTTAACTTCTCTGAGACTCAGTTTCCATAACTGTAAAATGAGCACGATAATGGTACCTACCTCATGAAGCTGATGTGAGAATTAAATGAGATAATTCATGCAAAGTACTTAGTACAATGCTTGGCACTCCGTATTGAGAAGCACTCAATAAACAACAAGGAAAACTACCATTTATTGATCACTTACTTTATGCCAAAGACTCTGAGTTAGGCATTTTCATGAAAACCCTATGAAGTTGGTATTGTTATACCTATTAATCAATAATAAGAACAACAAATGGTAATTAAAAAAAAAAAAAAAAATCAGATGACCCTAGCAGCTGCTTCTAATAAAATCCCAATCAACTAATAGACAATTGTTTGGCATAATGGCTGATGAATGTGGGCTCTGAAGTCAGATAGCCTGGATTTAATCTCAGCTCTGCCACTTAACCAGGTGACCTTGGGCAAATGACTTAACCTCACTGAGTCTCAGTAGTCTTATCTGGAAAATGGGGGTAATAATTATACCTATCTAATTGAGAGGTTAATTGAAATACTTTTAGCCCACAAGAAACGAATGCTTAAGTTGAAAACAAGGTGGTGATTAGGAGCATGCTAGCTGAGCTGGAGTCTCTGGCTGCTCCACTTACTACCTCGGTGACCTTGGGCAAGCCACTTAACCTCTCTAACCTTGGTCTCTTCATCTTAAGATGAGGAGGCTGTTGTATGTATTAAATGAGTGAAAGTGCATAAAGTGCTCACTTGGTAAATGATCAATAAATGTGTAAGCATGTTTATAGACATAGGTTTTCATAACTGATGATGTCAAGCAGGAAACAGTAAGCATCTGACTGGTGTCAGAGGCAGGAAAGTCTCTGAGACTTCTGAGGAGGCATGGGCTAGGTACTGAGTGGTAGTCAGAGATTAAATCTGAGTTGACCTCAAATTCAATTCAATGCAACATTTACTGTATCAGGTCCTGTACTAAGTTCCTGGGCTATATAGAAGAATAAGGGTATTTTCTGGTGATGTTTCCAAAAAGATTATAGGTAAAAAAAAAAAAAAAAAAAACCTATGGAGTAGTTCTGTTCTGTAACACATAAGGTCGCCATGAGTCAGAATCAACTAGACATTGATGGGTTTGGTTCCAACCCCCGTGCTGTCTGGGGCTGGGACAGGGATGACTCAGTGATAGAATTCTTACCTTCTATGCAAGAGACCCAGGTTTAATTCCAGGCCAATGCACTTCATGTGCAGTCACCACCTGTCTGTCAGTGGAGGCTTGTGTGTTGCTATGATACTGAACAGGTTTTAGAGGAGCTTCTAGACTAAGACCGACTAGGAAGAAAAGCCTGGAGATCTATGAAAACCCTATGGATCACAATGGTTTGATCCACAATCCATTATGAGGATGGTGCAGGACCAGGCAGTATTTTATTCTGTTGTGCATGGAGTCACCATGAGTCAGGGGCCAACTTGATAGCAGTAAACAAGAACAACAACTGCACTTTGGAAGAACAGTCTGTCTGGAAGGTTAGGGAACATAGAACAGTGACAGTGTGTTCTGTCTTATACTAGAGACAGGCAGACTGAAAGGTGAAGAGGGATAAGAAGGACGAGAGCAGTAGACTCCCACTGGGGAGATGGGATGAGTCTCAGAGGAGGTAAAGGAGAAAAGTGGGTACAAGGAGCCATGTATTAATCCATTAAGCCACAATTTGTCTTAAAAGAATCCAGACATCAGTGAATATGAAAAACATCATTAAAAAAAAATTGAAGGTTTTTTGAGAGGGGCTTAGATAATAGATACCGTATTTTTCCATTTTGCCGTGTGTAACTGCAGGATCCCAGGTCATCTGTATCTTCTCAAATTTAACTGAGCTAAGATTGGGTTCTCAACAAAGAACATCTAACTCTGCCTTGTATTTCTGCATTAGGCAAGATTTTTTTTTTTTTTTTTTTAATAGCAAGTGACAGAAACCTACTCAAACAGGCTTAAGGAATAAAAGGAATTGATTGGCTTGCTTATGTAGATCCAGGGTGTTTTTAGCTTAAGGCAGATCTACGACCTCAAACACCCATGTACTGGCTCTCCTCATCTCTCAGTTCTGTTTTCTCCCATCTTGGCGTTTTTCTCAAGCGGCTTCTCCAATTTAGCCACCGCTACAGAGAATCCCTCTTTACCAATATTTCCTGCAAAAGTTGCCAGTATATTTCCATTGTCTTGGCTTGGAACTCATGATTAACCCTGACCAGGGGAATGGAGTATTCTCATTGGTCAGGCCTGACCATGTGTAGTGTGGAAACCTTTGGGTAAGGTCAGTAATACCCAAACTGAGTGAACTGAGAATTGGAAGGGTTGGTTCCACAGAAGTATGATAGAGCCCAGAAGAACTTTTATCCACTACTGCTAGTTAACCAGTTGCAATTGAGTCAATTCTGATTCATGGCAACCCCATGTGTGTCAGAGTAGAACGATATTCCATAGGATTTTCAATCGTTAATTTTTCAGAAGATCACCAGGTCTTTCTTCTGAGGCTCCTGGGGATGGACTTGAACCTCCAACCTTTTGGTTAGCAGCCAAACATGTTAACCATTTGCACCACCCAGGGACTCCACTACAGTTTCCCCTAAAAGAAGAAGAAGGCAGGGAGAGAAAGGTAAAGAAATGGAAGGGAAAACAGGACCTCATGTGCAAAATTAGTTATTTCCCTACCTATTAACTCAACCATGGATATGCAGTCATCTTTATCATGGATTAAATTCTTTTGAACTCCAAAGCTATTATATTCTCCATTTTTATTTATTCCCAGCCTTTTAATATTTTCTAACTCTGATTGTCCTTGATTTTTATAGTCAGTGCTAGGCAAACGAGAAAATACATTTTGAGAAAAAAAGTTTCCTCTATTCTCAAAATAGCAGAGGCTGTGTGTGATTTGGGCTCCTCAGTACAACACTTTTGATTCTTAAAGCTGCATCAGTTTGGACTTCCTGGGATATTTCTACTGAAGACTAATCACAGTGGATTATTTAGATGTTGAGCCCTGGGGACTGTGACCTTGAGTTTGATCTCTCTCTGTCTCTCTCTCTCTGCCTGTGAACAAAGATGTGTTTACACAGAGGCAAAAAATATTCCCCAACCAGACCTAAAGATTCTGGGACGCATGGGCTTTTTTGTCCCTTTGAAAGAGACAGAATATTGGAAAGTGCTTTTAGCTTTTCTTTATGCACCCAACCTTTTCTTCTTTTTTATTTTATGCTTTTAACAGTTGACTTTGATTCTTCAACCAGTATACCTATTTCAAAGAAGAGAGCTAGGTACCATGGAAAGCTTCAAAAAGTGAAGCTGCAGAGTACACTATAACCCTTTATTCCTACTTACTTTTCCATTATAATTGTCATTTAAAAGCGCTTTGGCCCCAAGGCTGGAAGTCGGAAGCTTCAAGTTACCATAGCTGCCAACACCCTTCCTGCATGTTTGATGATGTGAATGTAAAGCACAGTCAGGTCCTGAAGACTCATTCTCCTGCACTGTCCTAAACTTTAAAGAGTTCAGATTTAACAATTGAAGAAGCTTACCCGCTTTCCATGTGAATCCATAAAGGGATGGACCTACATCCCTCAAAGCCTCAAAGCCACAGGCTTAGCCAGTCAAGTCACACAAATGTCACTTGGATATTTTGTTGTTGTTGTTGTTAGGTGCGGTTAAGTCGGTTCTGACTCATAGCGACCTTATAGAACAGAGTAGAACTGCCCCATAGGGTTTCCAAGGAGCGGCTGGCGGATTCGAACTTCTAACCTTTTGGTTAGTAGCCATTGCTCTTAACCACTGCACCACCAGGGTTCCACTTGGATATTTGATGCCCTGAATTTTTCAGCTCCTTTCAGTCATTAAGAAAGATTACTTGTGTCTGTCCTATAGCCACATGTGGCCTTGGGAGATTTATGCATGTAAATCCAGTTACCTCTATGAGCTCTGTATTGAGTGAGCATTCTAGGCAGCTTTGGCAGAACCTGATTTCTCCTGAATTGCATCACCGCACTTCTCCACTCAGTAAGATTGCTGCAGAGCAAAGAGAAGCTGAACTGAAGGAACGACTCCAAGACAAACTCCACAACACACTGTTTACACAGCTTGAGAGCTACCAATGGGTTCTGCCATGTGGCTGGGCTTCAGATGGCTTGTCTAGACACCTGGCCATCCAAGCAGCCATTTTCCCTGATTCATGATGGATTCTGGAAGGCTTTATTTATAACGCAAGGAGGCTTTCACACACGCACACACCAGAAAGAAAAGGAAAATCAAAGGATTTCTACAAATAATGTCCTTGAATTGACATGAAGCTTTCCACAGTTCTCTAGGCTCTGTCTAAATAATTAAATGGTGTTGCCTGGTCACCAAATTTCCTGCATAAGAAAAAGGAGAGCTCAAACATCTTGTTTGAGAAAGACTGCAGCTGTACAAATATAGTCTGCCTAAACATTAATCCATTCTGTCAGGTGAAACTTCCTTGTTCAAATAGCAAAGATTCCAAGTGGGGTGGATTGGTGTCTACTTCATAAAAGTTCTTAGCTATGCAAAGCTGAGTGGTGGTAATATCCATTTAGGAGCCTCTGGGAATTTGGATTCTGGGTTTTCGTGAGAAATCATGGGACAGTCCTCTCTAAGTCACTTGATCCAAGAGTTACAGCATCATGTTTAATTTCAACCCTCTCAACAAAGGTCCTTTAATGATTCTAGCCATCAATCATTTATTCAAAATCTTCAGGTGGTACAACCAGTATTGGCAAGGAAGTAGACAAATCGGAATACTCATACATTGCTGGTGGGTATGTAAAAGGATGCAGCTGCTGTGCAAAACAGTTTGGCAGTTTCTAAAATAGTTAAACATAGAATTACCATATGACCCAGTAAGTACACTCTTAGGTATATACCCAAAAGAATCGAAGTCAGCAACTTAAAAAGACACATATACACCAGCGTTCATTGCCGTATTATTCGTAATAGCTAAAAGGTGGAAACAACCCAAGTGTTCATCAAAAGTTAAATGTATAAACAAAACGTGGTATATGCACACAATGGAGTATTATTCAGATATAAAGAAAAATGAAGTCCTGATACCTGCTATGACATGGATGAACCTTGAAAACATTATGCTAAGGGAAATAATCCAGATACAAAAGGACAAATATTGTATGATCCCACTTATATGAAAGATCTGGAATAGGTAAATTCATGAGACAAAGGAAGATTGGTGGTTACCAGGGGGTGGGGGAGAACGCATGGGAGGAAAATCATCATAGGTCCACCTAAAATTGGTGAATGGTATTTTACGTGAATTACTCCTCAATAAAGATTTTTTTAAAAAAAACATTAGGTGCTTATTGCATGCCAGGCACAGTGCTGAGTGCCAAGGAAACAAAGATAAATAAGAATATCTTCCTTCAAGGAGCTTACAGTCAAATAGAAGACCAGATATTTCAACACATGCTCCATGACAAGATAGAGTGGTGTCCCTAAAGGGGAATCAATTTTTAGTGAGGAAGCGTGTTTAGGGAAAGCTTCTCAGAGGAGGAGATACTTGAGCCTAGGTTTTGAGGAATAAGTAGAAAATGGACAGACTGAGGGACAGGAATTCCAGGCAGAAGGACGACTGTGTGCAAAGATATGGAGATGTAAATGAAAGATGAAAAGGGAACTCTAAGTCATTTAGAAGGCCAAAGCAGAGGGAGTGTGTGGCAAGCTTCCAACAAAAGCAAACTATTGCAGAGGAGTCGATTCCGCTAGAAGTGAAATCATGCAGGACCTTAGAGACCATTTAAACGGGGGGAGCTATTGAAGGCTTTTGGTCAGCAGAGCAACCTGAACAGGTCTGTTTTTTCAAAAAATTCACTCTGGCTCCAGTATGAAGAATGGCAAATCTTATCATATTTATTTTCTGTATGTCAAGCAAATTAGTCATTTATATAAATTTTATAATTTAGTCTATTCCAGACAGGGCAAATTTACTCTGCCAGTTTCCCCTTTTTTGCAACTAAGGGAGACATTGTTAATCAGATTTAGCATGTTTTTCACTAATCTAGTTGCAGGCTAAAACTTTCCCAATCCTGATATTCAGACATTCCGCACCAACTAATTGGAGCTGGCACTGAGGTGAAATGTGCTTTCCATCCCTGGCTGATTATTTGCAGGGCTTCAAGAGCCCTGGTGGTGCAATGGTTAAGCCCTTGGCTGTTAACCAAAAGGTTGGCAGTTCAAACTCACCCAAGGGCTCTGTGGGATAAAAGACCTGACAATCTGCTCCCATAAAGATTACATAGGAAACTGTAGGGAGGGCGGTGCTACTCCATCACATGGGGTCTCTGTGAAAAGTAATTGATTCAGTGGCACACAACAGTATTATCCTGCATGCCATTTTGTTCTGTCTTCTTCGTACATTTGACCTATCCTCAGCAGAAGGCAACTCACTCCTACTGCAGCACAATCCCTCTCCTCTCTTTCCCTTTCTCTCTCTCAGCTTGCCGCCTCTTGCTTCTCCTCTTTAGTTTTCTTTGGCATGAGGGACCTGAGTCCAGTACATTTTTCAAACTCCAGGAGAGACATATCAAGCTCTCCAGTGGTCTTCACTTTGCTTGAGGTGAGCAGGAAACACCCACCACTCCTTTCACAGGCTGGCTTCCCTCGGAGGCAGACTCTGGGGCACAGTTTAGTGTGTAGGATGACTTTTAAGGAGTGTCTGTGGGATTGATACTGTGGAAGGCAAGAGATGGAAGCAGGAATGGGCAGTGGGAAGAGAAGAGCAGCTATGGCGTCCAGTGACAGCCACACCAAGCCCGGGGCGGGGAAGAGTTAAAGAGAACAACCTAGAGCTCTAATAGCCCTTCAGAGTTGTCCCAAGATGACTCATCCTTCATATACCTGCATAGGTCAGTCACTGACCATGGGCCACCCCAAGATTGGACTAGGCAGTTTTCTACCGCTGAGGCCAGTAGTAGTTGCCATCAGCTCTGACTCATGGTGACCCCATGTGTGTCGGAGCAGAACTGTGTTCCACAGGGTTTTCAGTGACTGGTTTTTTTAGACAGCCAGGCTTTTCCCCTGAGGCACTTCTGGGTGGATTTGAACTGACAACTTTTTGGTTCGCAGTCGAGCATGTTAACTGTTTGCATCACCTATGGAGCACCATGGAGGCAATCTCAAATAAATTTTCTCTATCCCTCCCACAGCCTCTCCAACATCAACTCCTTTCAGAGCCAGAGGGGTGACCATGAAGGCATTTAGAACTTCTCAGCCCACCCCACTGAAGGGCTTTGATTATATATTTATATATTTTTACTTTATAATCTGTTTTCACTTTTGGGGATCTCAGCTAAACCTAATTTAGAGAGTTCAAGTTTACCATCCTGCTGCATACATGTAACTTGTTACACTAACTAGACTGCAGTATCTGGTGGTAGAGACCATGACTTGTTTTCTGGCAGCACTCCGTGACATAGCAGTTATGAAATGACCTAGATTTCAAGTGATCTTCTCTGTGGTCACACAAGATGCCCTAGTTTTTTGGCTTGGAAAATATGATCACTGTATCCAAAAGGCTTAGCATAAGGCTGG